TCAACAAGCTATTGTTGTGATAAATAAAATTTTCTAAGCATTCCATTAAAAAAATTGAAGAATGGCACGCATATTGTTGTTCTAATCCTGTTAATAACATGAGCTTATACTCAGTAGATAATATAAATAAGGGTTAGTTTGTTTAAAATTTACTTTTAGTTTCTATAGTTTTAAACCATGGTTTTTGGTCCCTATAATATCATATGTACTTAGTCTAAATTTAATACTTTAACTTTTAGTTAGTATAAAGACTAAAATTAAAACTTATTAAAAGTATAGGAAACAGATGAATTTTGGTTTTGGTGCATATAATTAATGCTATTAACTCAAATTAAGTCCTTATGAACTAGAACTAAAAAATCGCAATTTAAAATTAGAAAAACGTAACCAAAACTGCAATTCATTCAATCAAAACTGTACGTAAACACTAATAATAATGAGCTCTTAGGATCAAACTTTAGAAAGCTGTATCTTGGCTCAAGTGGGTTGTTTCTCTCCAACATTTTCTCCACTTTTGCTTACAATGGATGAAAGCTTGCTTCAATGTAATTATTTCAACCCATTCTAGCTCTGTTTTAATTCAGTGTGGGTATTGTTTGATATTATATGAAAATTATTAACCATGACACGAGTGGCTAGAATGATCAAAAAGACAAAACAAATTGTCTTGACCCATCAAGAAGGGGGACCTGTTGCGTTATTAGTCTTCCTGGCAAATTTAGATTCTCTCCACATTTTTCCTCAATACGTACACTTCTCCATGTACAATTTTTTTTTTTGGTAATTTCAGCTCAAAAAAAACTTTTTTATGGTATTCATTAAATAAATAGTATATTTAATTTAACGCTACAATGAGCGATCTTAAATCATCAAACCAGATGAATAATTAGATGGAGAAATTGCGTTGTGTGCGAATAGAGTTACGAACCAATGAATTAAGAACCAAACCGGAGTGGACCGAACGGTTGGATCGGTCTGGCCGGTGACCGGAGCGCTCTCTGATTTGGTTAGCATAGTTCACCCGCTCTATCAGTTGAGCCGTTTCGACTCCCTTTAAGCCAGCATGTGGACTGGGAACCGGAACGGTTTTTCAAAAACCAGACAGCCTGAATCTGTTATGCACTTGTGGAGTTGTGAGTTGAAAAAAAAAAAAAATACTAGATCTGATCTGAGACCAAACAAACCGAAGAAGAAGAAGAAAGGAAATTAGGAAAGATGGAAGATCATAGCATTGAAGGAGGCAAAAACAAAACAAAAGAAAACCTTAAAACACTCAAATCCTCCAATATTGCGAGCTGCGATGCCAATGAACGAGAAAAATGAAAGCTGCGACGGCTTGAGATTTTCGCCTGAATGTCTGATGGTGTTGAGTTGTTGAGAGAGAAAAATTGCTTTGACTACTGTAAAGCAGTAAAAGTAAATAACCTTCATTTAATGCCGACCACATCACCCACGTCGATCAAGGGGTCATTTTTTTTCCCCATCAATTTATACAGTTTTTCCTTTTTTTTTTATGTTTTTTATTTTATTTTTACGTAAAATTTATTTGCATGTTTTGATATTTTATTTTTATGTAAATTTTTTTTTATGTAAAATTCTTAATATAAAGTTATATATATTTAATATATTATTTTACAAGATTTTTTAATTTGAGGTATATTAATATTGCGCGAGCTTGTTAACTTATTATAAAATTGAGATATTTAAGTTTTTTCTTAACTTTTTAAAAAATTTGACATTTTATTTTTATACCTATATTGTCATATAGGTATATAATATTAAATTTATTTAATTTTTATGTTATTGATCTGATCGAATGATTCAATCAATTTGACTGATTAAACCATGACTCACTGCTCTCTTCAGTCTAATATCTAATCCGATTTTTAAAACATTACTACAAACTTATAAACTTACGAAACATTAAAATATGTTTGTGGAATTTCTAACACAATAGCTTTCCATTCTTATATTATTAGTTGAAGCAAAAAACGCGACATGTGTGTGTGTATGCGTGTGTGTGATAAACCAAGACGTCATAAATTTTTAAATATCGTCAACCTCTCCCTTTTGCTATCCACTTTAAAAGAAAGTTAGCATAACTTATTCATTAAATATAAAATGTAGAATTGTTTTTCCTTTAGTTTTGTTAAATTTATTTGAGACTAGTGATCTCCGCTACATTATGATCCCACCTTGTTGACTAGTCAGATGGAGAAAAAGCTGAGAAATAAAATTAAACAAATAAAGATAATGGGAAAGAGGAGACTCGTTGACGTCGAGTCATCAATATACTCGTTACTCCTTAAAATATCCTTTGCCATGCCTCTGAGAATGTTCCCTATTTGACAATGTAATACACTTTAATCCACATATATTAGATATATGAACACTATGATACTGTGATATATATATATTTTTAATTTTATAATCTGAATTTGGAGTATAAGAATGTCTAGATATATAATTTATATGTATAATTAACAAATCATATAATTAAAAGTAGAAAAATAAAAAGTGATTATTGAATGCTTTAGATATTACGGAATAAATATTAAAGCATAATTTGATCGCAACGAAAACTACGAGTTAAAAAAAAAAAAATACAAGCAGATGAATAAAATCTCTTCCTTTTGCTCAAGAAAATAAATATCATTGGCAAAAAAAAGAAGAAGAAGCAAAAGCATCACATTTTCACACACAGATGAAAAAGAAACCATTATTTTTGTCAATTAAAAGAACTCAGCAGCATCTAATTTTTCTATCAAAATTGAAGATATATAGAGGATTGCCCCATAAATTTTAATGGCAGAAGAAGAGGACGATTAGCTATGACCCTTTGAGTTATATCCAAACAGTGAACAATAATCACTTGATTTGGTTTCTACAGTTCTTGGTTCCCAAATGAATTGCCATGTTTTGAGGGGGAAAAAATCCTTAATTTGCAGTGAGTATATGGAATATTGGTGGGAGGTTTTCTTCTTCTTTTTATTTTTCGGTTCGATTTTTCAATTGTATAGGCTTTAGCCTGTCAAGACTTAATTCTTTTTTTTTTTTTGGGGCCAAACTGTCAAGACTTAATTTAAAGAACCAAGAAATCAACACATCTATATATGTATTTATATATTTATTCATCCTAAGCATATGTATTCTCATTTAATGAAAAAAAGGCACAAGTATATATTATTATTTTGTAAGGGTCCAACTCCACTGATTAACTGGTAAAAAAAAAAATCCGATTGATTAACACATCTATATATCATTATTTTGTAAACATTTCTGAAAACAAATGGGCCGGATCGTATTTGAATGGGCTTGGTCTTCGGAGGATGATGCAAGAATAATGTGTGTTGGGACGGAGATGCAGACATGCGGAAAGGGTTATGGGGTGTCATTTCTTCCGGCAAAAGATATTAAATGCGTCGTCTCTAAAAAAATATTTTACATATAATATTGTGAATATGAAACGGCAAATAATTTATTTACCCAATATATTTATATTTACCTTCAACATTCAAATTGTCAAAAACTATTTTTTGACCCAAAAAAAATTGTCAAAAACTATATATCCTGAAATAATTTCCGGGCTTCGTTGGTTTTTTAAATTTAGTGACTCTTTACCAACTTTCTATTTTTCTTGATTTTGATCACATAAAATTAAAAAAAAATATCATACTTGATTGTTGTCGTAAATTTTTACAAGAAATTTTTATCAACTTAATTAATTTTATACTCTTCTTTATTCGCTTGAATTCCAGCGTGCCCTTCTCACATTTGAAGTACAATCTTAGAGTTCCACAACAACAACATTCTCATCAGCCTGAATAAAGTCCATGTGACTTTAAACTCGTCAGTTTCTGTATATTTGTTTTTTGGAAACTTTGGCCATTTGCTGATTTGAACTCGTTCACTATACTTCTTGTATCATAGAAGAGACCAGCGTATAGAGAAGCAAGAGTGTTTTTGTTTTCTTTGGTAGGATTGCGTTGAGTTGCTTTATCCTATTTGCAGAAAATAGAACAGAGTTCCCCTGTTTCTGAGGCATTTCAACTCTTATAATTCAAATCCCTCAATCATTCCTTTCCCTACGTCTCTGCGTCTGATCTCTTAAAACACACACATAGAGAGGAAAAAGAAAGTAAATTATGATATTGAAATGCATGGACCAATCTGTATATCTGATAGATCAAGTCTGGTTCATCCAACCTCAGGTTGATATTGGATCAGACTATACCCCAGGCGATCATGTTCAGTAAGAGGTCTTTCTTACGCTGTGATGGCCAACCTGGTTCGGTCCGATTCATACACATCTATAATGTGAATTATCAACTTACTAATTTATGACGTGCATTTATTTACATTTTAAATATACAACGCCTGTATTGGAATCATATGTCCCTCTCTATTTAAGGACATATACAATATATTGCACCGCTTCAAACTAAAGTAACGCAACAAACTAAAAACTTCACTTCACTTATAATATGCCTTCAGCAGCATCACTTCGTCCTCCTTTGCAATGCTCAGTCTAGAAGACCCGATGAGGAGCAAGAAACTGCATAATATATAAATAAAAAATATTACAAGGGCGTTACACCTCCAAAATATTAAATTTATGTATTTATATAGTTCTAGAATACGAATAAGGTGTTTGAATAAATACCCCTGAAGCATCCATGAAGGAGCATCTAGTACTTGGTTGTTTTGTTTTAGCTCTTTTATGCCCTGGAAGTTTTACTTCATTAAAAAAACTACCCTAGTTGATATCCACCATTAAGTTTGACCATTAAATTATGTCTAAGAGCCAAAAAAACAAAACTTTCAAGTATTAGGTACTTCTTATCAATATTTCCTAATATTTAAGTACCTTATCGCTTCTAAAATATTATTAAAAAAGGGAATATGTGGCAACGAAAAAGTAAAATATATTGCATTTAAGTAAACTTAGTCAAAACTTAAATCATTAGTTTGTTTCACTCACCTTAGTACCAGCTAGGTCTTCAATGAAAACGATTAATCCTGAGGATCACCATGACATAAAACTTGTCTCTAATGTGATAGAGGAATCTAAAGTAAGAATGCCTGAAATTGTTGTTGAAGAAAATGACAGCACAGACTCCCCAAAAGGCCACGGCAAATCCAACTCCTATCCCAATGTAGAAGGAAGATAGAAATTCATCTTCTTCACTGTAATTTCCTTCAGTGGGTTTAACATCTTTGTGTGTGCAATTCTTTGGAAGTGGAGCACCACAAAGTCCAAGATTCCCAATATAGCTTAGCACATTGAACCCTTGAAGTTGAGTCCCTGATGGGATCATTCCAGAGAAATTGTTGAAGGAAAGGTTTAAGGTTCCCAGAAAAGACAATTGAGCCAAACTTTGAGGAATTTCACCTGAAAATTGATTGTGTGCAAGATCAAGAGATTCTAATTGTTTCAAGTTTCCAATCTCTCTCAATATATTTCCTTCTAATTGATTATGGGACAAGTTCAAGGAATGCAATTCACTGAGACTAAACATTTCTGGAGGTATTGTTCCAGACATATAATTACTTGATAGATCAATAGCACGCAACAACTTTACATTTTCTTCATAGATTAGTTCAAGGCCTTTTATATGCAACTCAACATTGTCTCCATATATAGAATTTGAACACAATATTCTGCCACAAAAGTTGTTAACCACATTACTTGAAGCAGCTTGTCTCATGGCTGTCATATTATGTAAGCACTTAGGTATTGAACCTGAGAGTTTGTTATTTGCAAAATCCAATATTATAAGAGATTCCAACTGGCATACTTCTGATGGGATAGTTCCACTAAATTGGTTGGATCTAAATTGGATAATCTTTACATTGTGACCTATCCAGTTTGGTATGAATCCTGAAAATTTATTTTCTGCAACATCAAGGATCTGCAGGTTTTGGCAATTTTTCAGTGACATTGGTATCTCTCCAAAGAAGTTGTTGTTATTGAGATGCAAAATCTTGAGATTAGATAAGAAACTGATTGATGGGAGAACAGTACCCGTAAGATTGTTGCCACCTAGCCTAATAATAACCAAGGATTTCCAATGCATCCAGCAATTTGTAAGCCCTCCTGATAATAGATTATTAGACATGTCCAAATACTTTAAATTGCTTCTGCCACTCATCTTTTGACACAACAATGAAGAAATAGATCCTTGAAAAGAGTTATTTCTTGCATTGAATGTGACAACATTTGGTGACAAACGAGGGAGATTGCCTTTGAATTTATTAGAACTCAAACTTACGTATGTAGAGTTCAGTAACACATCGGATATGTCCCAATCAATCGTGTTCTCTTGTAAGCATATGCATCTCAACTGTGTTGCCAAATTCCAAAAGTTATCTTGAGATTGAAATGAAATACTTGAGGAGATAATAACTAATACCCTGAGAGACTTTTGCGTATATATCCATTCAGGAAACTTAGAACCCACTATGTGCACCAAATTTATGCCTTCAAGTTGAAAAGGAGGAACCCAAGACAAATCAAAGTCAAAGATTAAGCCTGGAGATCCCATGCCAAGCGCTTTCAAATTTGAGAGTTTGACAAAATTCCTTTCAGACACATACCCCATCAAATGATTATCATAAAAGTTGAACATCTCCAAGTTCAAGAGCTGCCCAAGGCTCTCTGGAAGACTACCGTTTAAGTTATTTGAATTGAGATTCAAGATAACCAAGGATGATAGATTTCCCAATTGAGGAGGAATATGACCATAAAGTAAGTTATGACTAATATCAAGAACTTGTAGGTGTTTTAGTTGGCCTAACCAAGCTGGAATTGGTCCACTTAGTTGATTGCCTTGCAAATCCAAGCTTTTTAATTTTCCAAGATTCAACAGTCTATTTGGAAGTTGGCCATGAAAATAATTATAGCTCAAATTTACAGAAGTGACATCACTGAGATTGAATAGCCAGTTCGGAAAGATTTCAGAGTTAAAAGCATTATCAGAAAGGCTAAGAACTTCAAGTGAAGTAAAATTGACATACTGCAGGGATGGACTGATGTTTTCAAGGTGGCATCTATCTAGGTGCAATTCAGTAAGGGAAGGAAGTAAAGCTGGTAACTGAAGCCAATCAAGTTTCCCTTGAAGATTAATGCCACTGAAGTTAACATATTTCAAGGAGGCAAAACGAGAAATCCAATGAAGGCTATCAATGAAAAGATCCTCATTATATGATAAGTCAAGGTGATGAAGATTAGAAGAATTTTTAGAGGAATCATGTTGGGTAATAACATGGAAGTCATTATTGCTCAAATCCAAGTAATTTAAAAACTCAAGTCGGAGCAAAGATAGGTGGAATTCACCTGTGAGACAGTGTGATTTCTTCTCTTCACAATCATAATCATAGGCTTCTAAAGAACAAGGAAGACTGAGTTCGATGACTCTACCGGTGGTGTTGTCACACTGAATCCCTATCCATTCACAACAATCTCTGCCATCCGACCAACCAGAGAGGATGGATGATGGATCACCAACTGTTTGTTTGAAATTTAAGAGAAGATGGCGATCTCTTTCATCACACTGTACTCTCAAACTATAAGTGCCCTTATTGTGGAGCATAATTGCTAATATTAATAACCATGGCAGCAGAAGATTAGAGATATAGGAGAGAAATGATGAGGTTTCCATAATCACTGATTGATATGCTTTGATGGGAAGGGCTTGCCACCACCACACTTTTATATTGAGATATATTTATATTCCCAGGTCCCACAGTGAGTTCGTCTTTAATGCTTTCCGACTTCAAATGTTCATGACATAAACCATGACGCTAACACACGCAAGTGACGTAGAATATAAGGACTAAGCAGAAAATGGATGACTTTTAATTAGAATTGAATTGGTTTGCATTGACACGTGACGCCAGGTCGCCAACCATTATTAATGGTAAGCTCTCCATCTTCCTTTCTCCCATCTTCTTTCCTCCATTTTTTTTCCCCAACCCAAAAGCAGATTAGCAAGACTAAGACAGAGGTTTCTGAGGACCAAACCAAAGAGACAAAAGTTTATATCAATCTCTTAGACTGTAATTTTTCAACAAAATTATTTATTGTACATATTAAAAGTTTGAAAAGAAAAACTTAGGTCTTGTGTGTATAAAGAAAAAAGTTGCCTCAATTATGAGAGATGCTGAAAATAGCAAAGATATTCATGAAGACATCAACTATCACTAAAAAAAACAGACTTTAGGAGATGATTTTCGGCGGCGACAAAAAAAGTCGCTGCTGAAAGTCCACTTTCAACGGTGACACCAAAAAGTCGCCGCTGAAAGTGGACATTCAGCGGCGACTTTTTTTATCGCTGCTGAAACTAAGACTTTCAGCGGCGACAAAAGTGTCGCCGTTGAAAGTTCGCTGCTGAAACTAAGAACTTCAGCGGCGACAAAAATGTCGCCGCTGAAAGTAAACTTTGAGCAGCGACTTTTTTTGTCGCCGCTGAAAGTTCGCTACTGAAACTAAGACTTTCAGTGGCAACAAAAGTATTGCCGCTGAAAGTGTAATATAATAATATATATTTTATTTTACAATATTAATAAACAAATTCAATCTGGCTCAGCGGCAAGAAGATTGGACACGAAAGGAGGCGGTCAGGAGTTCGAACCTTGAAGAAGACACATTTAAAGTGAAAATATTTGGACGATGACATGGCGAGGAGGAGTGATGTCGCAATGACATGGAGGTGGCTAGTGATGATGTGGCAGTCGGCGGTGATAATGTGGCTGCCGACGACGATGACGTGGCGGCCGGTGGCGATGACGTGGCGTCGGTATAGCCAATTCTTCTTAGGCATTACTTTCAGTGGCGACAAAAAAGTCACCATTAAAAACACTTTTGTCGCCGCTGAAAAGTCTTTCGGCGGCAACAAGAATGTCGCCGCCAAAAGTGTCTTTCAGCAGCAACATTGTTGTCGTCGCTAAAAGACTTTTTGGCGGTGACATCCGAAACTTCTAAAAGTCACCGCTAAAAGTATCTTTCAGCGGCGACTTTTTTAGTCGCCACTGAAAGTTTTCAGCCACGGTTGCTACGGCAACGACTTTTTAGCGGTGACTTTTATACTTTCAGCGGCGACTTTTGTCGCCGCTGAAAGTCAATTTTTTTGTAATGTATATATGAGAGTATATTTTTTATTTATTCAAATGACATAAATGAAAAATCAATTTCAATCTAAACAGGCAACAAATTTGTTTTCCCCCCTCATAATTCCCATATATTATTGAAAAGTCTAACAAAGATCTCTTTCACTTGATGGAAAAATGATGCCACCATATTTGAATTTTATATGGTCTTTTCATAACTTCTTGTCAATACTTCATTTATGATTCCAGTTGCCACGCTCGCACGCAGACACATTTATACTACTTTTGATCTTTAATATAAGAACTAATTAACTAATTTTAATAAATTAAGAAAATAAATTAAGTTAGTTATTTATAATAAACATATATTGTTTTTCCTAGAATACTCTTGCTAACCATGTGTATTGGTTAGAACTATTATTTGATAGAATATTTAATATGTGCAACTATTATAAGAACTATTTTGAAAAAAAATAGATAAATATAAGAGACATAGTGGATTGGAATCTTATATTTAAAACCAAATTAAAAGTCAAACTAGCTCTTATGTTTAAGATCAAAAGGAGTATTTGAATAAATTAAAAATATATGAATGACTTTGATCAGTATTCTTCGTCCAAGTGAGGAGTATCAAAAACAAAGATAAGGTGACCATAAAAGTTGACCCATTAATACATTATCGTGATTGAGACTCTCTCAAATGGCCGCCCATCTGATGATGACAAACCAATTCAACTTTGAAAAGTCTTCCAATTATTTTAGATGCAAATGATACTATGATATACTTGGAAAAAAAAAATCAGTGGTCCTACAAAACTTATAGAGCTGTTAGATAATAGAATTGATGAATCATAATAAAGGAGAGCAACAAGCAGAAGAAAAGAAAGAAAAGAAAATCCAGTCTCAACTCTCAAGAACTATAGCCTGCGGCTTTATGTAAGAGGATTTCATTTAAGTTTTTTCTAAGCGATTTTGTGCTATATAAAGTAAATATTTCAAAAAAAAAAAAGAAGAAGTTTGATCTTGTGAAAATGTAAAATAATATATTTTTGGAGTGATCCAAATGCCCTAAACCTGAAGTCCCTCTCGTGGCGTGACCATTTTTTGGTTTTTGCTCTTACTTTCCACTAAGTGGGGTCATTTTGATTTCTTTTTGTTTTTGCCAAAGGCCACTTTGATTCTGGGTTCATTCCTTCCCAAAGCCCAACAATATCATGACGCGAGTCCGGTGCCACCACATATTTTCGCGATCTCATGACCTTCATGTTAACCGAAAAAACCATCAACTATATTTTTTATAAAATAAATGTGACAACAAAAAATGAATAATTATTAAAAATAAACTACTATTGAAAAATAAAATAATGAAAAATTTTAAAATTTGAGATTTGAATAAAACTAAAAAAATTGAATTTAAATAATCATAAAATTAAATTTAAAATTTAAAAGAAACTGAAAAAAATTTTATTGGAAAGAAAGATAAAATTAACATATAAAATCATTTAAGAAATTACCACTCGAGAGTGACAGGACATGGCTGTAGGTATCGGTTTTTAAATTTTCAAAATTAAAATAAATCTAAATATAAGAAAGAGAAAAGGCAAAAAAAAAAAAAAAGGAGTGGAAGATGGAAGACGCCAATAGAGGAAGCTTTAACAGCTTATAATATATAGATATATTTTCAGCTTATTAGTCTCTTCACCAAGAAGTCTTTCAAGTTTTCAACTTCATGCACACAACATATGCATATACTTGAGAATTGCTGCCTACATGCTGGCACAACTTTCACAGCGATTGTCAAAGAATCATTGATTATTTCCAGTGTTTGAAAGTACTCCTTATTAATGGGTTTAATAACCATATTTTTTTTTTTAATATAAAAAGTTTCGGTGAGTTAGCTCCTAAGAACTAATTAAGCCCATGACATGTTGGGTCTCAAAAAGCACTCATAGAAGTAATTACGGGCTATCCGCTAATAAAATCTTCATATCAGTAGTAAAATTCGATCTTTCAACTTTATCAATTATGAGTCGACTCTTTATTAATAGAATTAAATTAAAGTCAAAGTAGCTTTTACTTTATAAAGAGTGGACATAGTATGTCCTATTTTGGAGATAGATTGAGTTTCTTCTCTTAACTATTTAAACAACAAGAACAAAAAAAAAAGTTTGCCTGGATAAGTGTCAAAGTAACCTAACAAAGGTCTGGATAATTTTATTTGAAATTTGCCAAACCAAAGACGAATTTAGAGCCATGCCTTTCAAAAACAGAAAAATCTATTCCTAAACCCGTTGTTATTATTTAACATTTCATCAGCATTTTTCTATTTAAGAGTTTAATAATTATAAAAGAAAAGCATTTTTTTAAAAATTTCCATCGCCAATAAAGACGGATTATCCATCGCTAAATGAAAATGTTTTGTGGTGGCTCCCTGTCCGTTACTCCAATCTTGATTTGTTTTTAATGGCTTCTTACATAAGTTGGGTGGATGCTTATTAGCGTCCATGTGACTTGTCAACTCCAGCTCTCTATAGAAGGAATTGTATGCATTTATTTACTTTTTAAATATAAAACACCTGAATTGGAATCATATATCCCTTTTTTTTTTAAAGGAAAAATAAGCAAAGGTTACAGGGAACAGTAGGAGTTTATGGCAGTGCTTAATTTCCTTTAAAAGTGATAAATAAAAAACTTTAGGCCATTTCTTATTGCTTACTAAAAAGAAATATTTTAATTTCGTCTTTATTTAAGGGATATATACACTTATTAAGGATACAAATTTTATGCAGAAAATGGAACTATATATATATATATATATATATATATATTACACGACTTTAAAGTAACACTCAAACTAAGAACTTCACTTGTAATATGCCTTCAATAGCATCACTTCGTCCTCCCTTGCAATGCTCAGTCTAAAACACTCTTGATGAGGGCTTACTGAAACATGCATACGAAGTACCTGCATAATATATAATCGAACGCATGCGGGCATGCATATTTTCTAAGTCTAACTCAAACAGATGTGTTATTTGCGAAAATGATGAGTGCATTTTGGGCAGGTTGGGGCCGAACTAAGACCAGCATATTCTTTGGTCAGGTTTGTTCTCGAAGGGATTTTTTAAAAAATTAATTAATAAAATTTAAGGAAAGAGAATTAAGGAGAGAGATTTCCATCCCAATTTTTTTAATATATTCAAATATATGTCGGCACTACAAAAGAATAACAGAAGCAGAGAAGAGTTATTTTGTTTGGTACGAGCGTATAAAAATTAAAATGAAAGAAATAATAATATAATAAAATAACACATTTGATCATCCCTAAAAATTACAAATATATATATACATGATCACTTACTTATTCGTACGGCGAAACAAATCTTGGGGAATTATTTTATGCAACGTATAAAGAAAAGGAAAAAAAAAACTTAGACATATTTGTGGAATTAGTGGAATGAAAATAATCCTTTATTTCTCGTCA